ATCGCTTAATATAGGATCCATATATATATATATATATATATATATATATATATATATAATATATATATATATATATATATATATATATATATATATATATATATATATATATATATATATATATATATATATATATATATATATATATATATATATATATTTATATATATATATATATATATGACAATGTCAGACCACGGAGGAAAATGAAACAGGAATTTCCTTAAGTACTTTCGTATATTAAATACATCTTCAGAAGGAAATTCCTTCTGAAGATGTATTTAATATACGAAAGTACTTAAGGAAATTCCTGTTTCATTTTCCTCCGTGGTCTGACATTGTCACGTTCTTAATCACGTGTTTATTTTCGTGATATACACATATATATACATATATATATATATATATATATATATATATATATATATATATATATATATATATATATATTATATATCGTTCAAACGACAGAAAGTTTTAAATATATGATTCTGGCACAAATCTCGATATTCCTTATGTTTTTCTTCACTGAAGCAGGGAGTTGAAAAATTAACTCTTCAAAGTTCCTTTTTACTTTTTATTAAGCCTGATGCATAGTGATGCGTTTCGTATAGTCAATCCTCATATTTCAAAGATAATTTCTACCGTGTTGTTGCTGTTATAGATTCAGCTACTCGGAACAAGTTCCAAGTAGCACGGGCTATGGTGAGTCCATAACTTACCTGGCACAAGAGCGGGGCAAGTAGCACGGGCTATGGTGAGCCCGTAACTTACCTGGCACAGGAGCGGGGCAAGTAGAACGGGCTATGGTGAGCCCGTAGTGGACTTATCTGGCACAGGAAAGGTGCTGTCCTTCTACCGTGTTGTTGTTGTTGTTGTTAAAGATTTAGCTACTCAGGACGAAGTGTCCATATAGCACGGGCTATGGTGAGCCCGTAATGTACCGTGCTTAGCACCTCCTTATATCCTCTTATGGTGAGGTGGTTAGGTGACATGTGGATGAATGACATTACAAGGGGTATATTAATTAATAAGGAATTAAATGTATCAACATAGAGAGTGACATATTGGCAGCTTATGTTCTTCTAATTCATTTAATTTGAAGATTATATTCTTTCTTTCATATGTTTTTATGGCTCATTTGGGCACTCAATTTCCAAAAGTGTGTCTCCTAGTGCGTGTCTCAATTGTATTAGTAATTATATAATATATTTATATCTACCCTATCAATTCCCTGGAGAATCTTGTATGTGGTGATCATATCCCCCTGAACTCTTCTGTCTTCCAGCGACGGAAGGTTTAATTCCCGTAGTCTCACCTCATAGTTCATGCTTCTCAATACGGTGTGTGTGTGTGTTTTGGGGGAGGGGGGGGGGAGTATATTTACTATTTGAATTTACAATTTGTATCTTCATAATCAAGAAATTAACTCTTGGACCCCATCTTTCTAACCAATCTATTTTTCCTCTAATATGTCTACTACATATATTTCTTTTTAACACACACACATATCCCCAGGAAGCAGCCCGTAGTAGCTGTCTAACTCCCAGGTACCTATTTACTGCTAGGTGACAAAGCCATCAGGATGAAAGAAACTCTGCCCATTTGTTTCCGTCTCCGACGGGAATCAAACCCGGGGTCATACAGACTACAACCCACGAGCGCTATCCACTCAGGTGCGAGGCCTGAATGTGTGTATGTGTTCTCACCTACTTGTGCATGCGGGGGTTGAGCTTCGGCTCTTTGGTCCCGCCTTTCAAATGTCAATCAGGTATACAGACTCCTTAGCCTACTGGGCTCTATCATGTCTACATTTGAAACTGTGTATGGAGACAGCCTCCACCACATCACTACTTAATGCATTCCACTTCTTAACTACTCTGACACAATAAAAGTTATTTCAAATGTCTTTGTGGCTTATTTAGATACTCTGTTTCCACCTATGTCTCCTTGTGCTTGTGCCCCTTGTTTTAAATAAACTGTCTTTATCTACCCTATCAATTACTCTGAGAATCAAGTATGTGGTGATCATATATCCCCCTAACTCTTCTGTCTTCCAGTAACGTGAGATTTAGTTCCCATAGTCTCTCCTCGTAGCACATACCCCACATTTCGGGTACTAGTCTGGTGGCATAACTGTGAACCCTCTCCAATTTAGTCTTGTGTTTGACTACCTACGAACTCCATTCGGGAGCTCTAAACTCCTGGAATGGTCTGATATATGTGTGTTCTGACACGGTTCTGAATGATTCAAAACATATGTGGGTCTGACAACGTTCTGAATGATTACTTACACAAGTTTCTAAAGGCCGTTTGCAAGTTGGCCAACATGTCATATGCCGCTGATGATAGCCTTTTGATGTGGGCTTCGGGGTTCTTAAATAATTTCATCTCCCAAATGGTACCTTTTAGCTGGCCTCCTGCTCCCTACACCTCTCTTCAATACTATACATTTGCTTGGGTTAAACTCTAACAGACATTTGTTGGACAATTCCCTCAGTTTGTTTAGGTATTCTTGAAGCCTCATGCTGTCCCCCTCTGCCTTAATCCTTCTCGTAATTTTTGGCATCATCAGCAAATATTGAGAAGGATGAGTCTATATGCTCAGGAGGATCATTTACGTATATCAGAAACTGAATAGGCTCGAGTACGGAACCCTGTGGGATTCCGCAAGTGACTTTAAGCCATTCTGAGGTCTTACCCTTTATAGTAATTCTCTGCTTCATGTTGCTTAGGTACTTAGGTACTTAGGTACCTAAGTACATACCAGTGTACTCACCTAGTTGTGTTTGGTTGAACTTCGGCTCTTTGGTCCCACCTCTCAACTGTCAGTCCATTGGTGTACAGATTCCTGAGCCTATTGGGTTCTATCAAATCTGCATTTGAAACTGTGTATGGAGTCAGCCTCCATCACATCACTGCCTAATGCATTCCATCTGATAACTACTCTGACACTGAAAAAAAATCTTTCTAATGTCTCTGTGGCTCATTCAGGTACTAAGTTTCCACCTGTGTCCCCTTGTTCGTGTTCAACCCATACTAAATAGTTTGTCTTTGCTTACCCTGACAACTCCTCTGAGAGTTTTGTAGATGGTGATCATGTCTCCCTTTCTCTTCTGTCTTCCAGGGACGTGATGTTTAGCTCCCGTAGCCTTTCCTCGTAGCTCATACCTCTCAATTCTAGGATTTGTCCCTGATGAGTGAGTGTGTGTGTATTAATTTATTTATTTACTAGATGGTTTGTGAGATTACATAATGTTAGTAATTTTACATTCTTGAAAAGCCACTAACACGCATAGAGCTTCAGGCAGTGGTGTATCCATGTTTTCAAATATATACTGATTTGGGTGATAAGAGTTTAGGCCTTGGTGGAACGAGAACTAACACCGGCATGGACCTCGCAGCAACCGGTTAATGATTAACAAATATTCATATTGGCTTATCGGCGTGATTAAATGCTGATTAACGTTTAGGTTCCATCAGAATTATTATTAATGATACATGTCGGCTATCGAAGTAGCCAGGAAGTAGGAGAGAAAGTCCGATGCTTCTTGATAAAATGAAGTCTAAAAGTCCCATATAGGGATTTGTATTTAACATTGTTTTGTTCTTCGATAAACTGACTAAGATGAGATCATCTCTCCAAGCTGCATGTGTGTAAAGAAATATATGTATATGTTTATCACTCAGAATGTTCGGTGATATGTTTGTATTGTATATATATATATATATATATATATATATATATATATATATATATATATATATATATATATATATATGACAATGTCAGACCACGAAGGAAAAATGAAACAGGAAATTTCCTTAAGTACTTTTGTATATTAAATACATCTCAGAAGGACCTTCTGAAGATGTATTTAATATACGAAAGTACTTAAGGAAATTTCCTGTTTCATTTTTCCTTCGTGGTCTGACATTGTCACATTCTTAATCACGTGTTTATTTTCGTGATATACACACATATATATATATATATATATATATATATATATATATATATATATATATATATATATATATATATATATATATATATATGTCGTACCTAGTAGCCAGAATGCACTTCTCGGCCTACTATGCAAGGCCCGATTTGCCTAATAAGCCAAGTTTTCCTGAATTAATATATTTTCTCAAATTTTTTTCTTATGAAATGATAAAGCTACCTATTTCATTATGTATGACGTAAATTTTTTTTTATTGGAGTTAAAATTAACGTAGATATATGACCGAACCTAACCAACCCTACCTAACCTATCTTTATAGGTTAGGTTAGGTTAGGTAGCCGATAAAGTTAGGTTAGGTAGTCGAAAAACAGTTAATTCATAAAAACTTGGCTTATTAGGCAAATCGGGCCTTGCATAGTAGGCTGAGAAGTATATATATATATATATATATATATATATATATATATATATATATATATATATATATATATATATATATATATATATATATATATATATCATCCCTTTGTGTGTATTTATTCTTCAATAAACTTATTTCAATTTCAATCCTTTCAAGCCCCGAGGGGAGTGATGACCGGTCCTTCCCACGCCCCCATCAACACGCCCATCCTCACCAGGATCCTTCATTAACACATCAGCCGCCCCCCATCTCCCCCACTCTGTGTCATCACAGACGTAGCGACCCCCTCCTCCCTCATCAGGAACTAGCCGGCCACTACATATCCCCCCACACTACCCCACCCTAACTCACCCCCATTGCGATAGGACCGCCCCTCCTCGGTCCCCATCCCCCCCTTTCGCCCACTTAGAGAACTCCTTGCCCCGCCCCTCACCCACCACCACTCACACGACCCTTGGCATATCCGGTACGACCTCCACGACCCCCACCTGGAGACGGGCTGACACAGAAGGGGGGAGTAGGGGTCTAGAGAAGAGGGGGGTGGAGGAGGAGAGGAGGGGGGGATAAAACACCTGGAGGCCATGCAGCTCTGGCCTCGGCTTCGGGTATATAAGCTGAGCGCCAGTTCTCTGCTGGCATCAACTTCTTCCTTCTCCTCCCCAAGTCATCTTCTCTTCTCCAACAGTGAGCCAGCCAACATGCAGCTCGTGAGTACTTGACAGTACTTCGCAGAACTTGGCAGTACTTGGCAGTATTTGACAGTACTTGACGGTACTCAGGAATACTTTGATAATTGGCTTATGGCCTATGAACCGAGAGAGGGTTATTAAGTCCACAACAATAGTTTACTGACCAATCATTAATGATTCTTTAGTCCTGAACATAGTCTAGAGCTTAAAGTAACAGGAACTGATCCTACAGCAGTGAGAAAGAAACTCTCCTTACTAGCATCAAAGAGCATAGTCGCAATTTGAGACGATACTCACTATTTCATCTCATTTCTTTATTATGCACCCCATACCCGTTCCGAGGAGAAAAGGGTTACAGAGGCACATAATTGGTTCAGGAACTGAACCCCATAGTTCGTTTAGCTAAGCAAGTGACAGTTTTGTGAAGCTATAGTTACCCAACTGTAAATATTACACACAGAAGCTGAAAAGTTGGTTGTGGTTGGTGTCTCTGGTATATACCAACTAAGAACTTGTTGTTGATAAAGTGTCTAAATTGTGATTTCCCATTGAAATTGGGAAATTACAATATTATGTACAATATACATTAGAAATTACAATTTACATTAGAAATTGTTAGGCGTATCGAGGCCCTTTTAAGTCAACGACTGACCTTTATCAGGAGAACCCCCACAACAATTGCCTATCTCCAAGGTACCTATTTAGTGCTTGGCAAACTTAGATTTCAGGTGAAAGGAAACGTGTGCCCAAACGTCTCTATCCTGCCGCGGGAATTGAACCCGGGACTTTCAAGTGTGACCCCCGACTCCTCTAATCACTGCTCCACACAACCCGGATAACGCTTAAGTGTTGATAGCTTCAGTTAGCGAAGACTTAGAAAAGTTGGTGTTGAAAGATCGTCAGATTAATTGAAGCTTTTATACGAACAGAGTCTCAAGTTACAGGGCAGTAGGACACTTACTGGTGTCTAGTTTGTGTTTACTAGCTGACTAGTAAACACAAACATATTTACAGTTGCTCCTCGCTAGTTCGAGTTTATGTAAGGCGGTCCCAAAATTGGGTGATCTAAGTCTGAGTGCAATATACTAATACTAAAATAAATTCCGATAATTTGCTAATGCTCATAAAGTTGAGCAAAATTACTCAATTTAGAAACTTTATTCAGCATCAGGAAACACGCGAGTCTTGTATGTGGTGTCAGAGGCTTTGTGTGTGGTGCCTGAGTCTTGTATATGGTGTCAGAGTCTTTGTGTGTAGTGCCTGAGTCTTGTATGTGGTGTCAGAGTCTTATGTGTGGTGTCAAAGACTTTGTGTGTGGTGGCAGAGTCGTTGTGTGAGACGTCAAGTTGCTGAACGGAAGCAGAGTTAAGCAACGTAATAATTATATTATACAAGAATTAGAGGACAATATTTAGTAATTTAGGAACACTAGTACAAACAATAGTGATTGTGAGTTAATTGCTTGCTTGGAAGTGTCTGTATTTGCTCATAGCGTCTTAGAGATCAAATTGGTTGTATTCTGTAATTAAAGGGGAATCGAATTTTTGTACCTTCGACTGTACCTGTATCAACCCTATTTAAACATAAGAACAAAGTAAACTGCAGAACTACCTCCTCATACTAGGCAGTTCCTATATATATACATTTAACGACAACAATTCACATGTATCTAACTAACGCTTGAAACAACTCAGGGACTTTACGTCTATTATGGACGCTCTCGTCAATGTGTTCTTCTTCAAATTTAGACACCCCCATAGATCCATAATCAGCATTTAACCAGTTGAACAAAAAATAATGTTCAAATCTCAATTCTTGGTTGCCCCCTCACACACTGCCTTGGTGCAAATGTCCCTCAGAGATGCGTTCCGAAATCATTTTCTAATTCGATATTCCAGGTGGTCCTCGCCTGCCTGGCCGCCTTCGCCGCCGCCGCCCCACAGCAGTTCACAGGAAAGCCGGAGTACCGACAGATCGCCATCCTGAGAGACGAGCGGGAAGATCGGGGCGACGGGAACTTCCGGTACGAGTTCGAGACCGAGAACGGCATTCACGTCAACGCCGTGGGCACCCCCGGCGAAAAGGGCCAGAGCAACATTGAGGGTTTCTACAGGTGAGTCGCGGGTCTTCCTCTTACAGGAAGAGACGCTTCTGTGTATATGGTAATTACCTGATATTTTGGTTCGGGTTAGTAACGCACGCACACACACACACACACACACACACACACACACACACACACACACACACACACACACACATACACATACACACACACACACACACACACACACACACACACACACACACACACACACACACACACACACACACACACAACATGAGCCACATGGATGTCATGAAGAACCTCTTCAATATTCAGAATTTTAAACGAATGTATTACTGGTTTACCCGAAGATATTCCAGAAAGTAACTCAATCCACAATTTTAAATGTCAATATAAGATCGTCGAGAAACCTGAATCACGGCATTAAACAACTACAACTGTTCAGGAGGCGGGGGCTAAGGAGCTAGTGTTCGACACTTCCAGTACATCTAGGTGAGAGTAGACAGACCTTTCTCCCACTAGATAGTTGAGGAATGTCACCACCATCACCTCTCGGCCTGACTCACCTTAATGTTAAGCCACGTAACTCAACTGTAAAAGGTCAAACACACACAAACGCAGACGACCTGATGGCTCTTGCGCTCAATACTCTTCTCTTTTTTCTAAGAGCCAGCAGGGGATGATCTTTGCTCAGCATTTATAATTCATTGTTTATTTCTCCTCTGTGAGTTTCCTTCCCTCACGAGCCAATAAACGTGGTTGACTTAAGATAAAACAAAAAAGGAACCTGTCGGTTGAGTGTGAGACTCTTGCATGGTCAAACTAAGGGCCGACAACCCGTTATCTGGTCAATCAAGGTCGTGACCTCCTTCACTTTTGCTTTTCATGCCCCATCCCCTCTATTAGCAACACAAGGAAGGTACGTATTTTCACACGGAGAAGAAGCTGCTGAGATAATATTGTTTATTCTTAACTATTATTGCTGCCATGCCTTGGATCTTGGTGTTTTTAAGAATATGAGGAGTTGGGGGATGCTCGCTCCCAGGCATGCCCTGAAGTAGCTGTGTTCTAGCTCCTTAGAACACAGGGAACACACGTGAACCCTGTATTCGATGAGGGAAAATAATTCTGCTTAATTATTGATCATAGCTTTACTGACCAATCAGAGGTTGTCATTCATTCTCTAGACGTTCAGAACTACATCAAAAGTCAAAAGCTAAATATTAATAGAACCTTATAATCTCATTACTATACATATTTATACCTTCGCCGAGTATTAGCATTTTATATACATTCCACTCCTCGCAAGTTCTTCTCTGGATATTTCCTGAGAGTTGTCACTCATCTCCTCTTCTCACTCAAATGAGAAGCCTACATCCTGTCTACATCCTGTCTACATCAGTGTTCATCTTCACTCAAGTATCCGTTATTTCTAAAGAACTTCCTCTGTCTCCCATTGCTTTCCTCCTGGCAGTCAGCCAGGAGTTGGAGCCACACCCAAAGGTCTTCCACGCTCCCAGACAACAATGGTGAAAGCAAAACCCTAATTCAATCAGCACATTTTCGCTGCTAGCAGAGTCCAGCAGACATGTCAACATATCATGAGGTGCTTGTGAATGTGTCTTGCAAGTGAATGACGTTTTCTTACATGTTTTATATTTCTCCCCAGGTTCAACCTTCCTGTCTTGCATCGAGTTCAAATTTTCTGTTTCTCCCTCAGATTCCCCCTGGACGACGGATCCATCGCTGAGGTCCGCTACATCGCCGATGAGTTCGGCTACCGCCCAGAGTCTCCCCTGATCCCCACTCCCCACCCTCTCCCCGCCCACGCTGTCGAGCAGATCCGCCTCGCTGAGGAGCTCCGTCGCCAGGGAGTAGAGTGGGACCAGTTTGGATTCAGAATCAACAGAAAGTGAGCGAAGTCTGAAGTCGACGACACCCAAAAGGCGTTGTACAGTGCTGACGAGAGCTTGACACGGAGCCCAAGACGATAGCCACACTCTAGCTAGAGTCTCGGATTCGTGTAGACGACGGTATTGTAGATTATCGCAAACGCTTATTTTATCCCCATGTACACAAGACACACAAACACCACCAGCTCTCACGAACACACACTTTATCCTCATAATAATACTCCTAATGGCTTTGATAGCTTTTGTTATATACTCAGTTCGCGCACCCTTGATGCCCATTGTAGAGTGAAGCACCATTGGCACAGTGGCTAGTGAGAGAACCCAACACTTGACATCCATGGTATTGTATCGAGACAAGCGCAGGCGCCTCCACACATACCAACTGGGCTCTCACAGCCAGCATATCAGGCAGAATCATCCACTTCCTCCTGCTTCTCCTCCCTCCATAATACTTATCAACAACCACAAATTGTCTCGATTTAACATTCCAGCGATTGCAGGTTCTCAGTCGTTCCTAGACGTGGTATTTTGGGTGTCTACCGCCAGTATATCGCGCAGGACATCATTATCCCCCCCCCCGCACCTTCCCACCCACAAAATAATGTGAATCACAGTAACTATTAAATCATAACAAATGAAAATGACTAGATATAGAAATCCAGAGTACCATTGTTATCATTGTCATCATCGGTGCCAGCCTCGCGAACACAGCCCACACGGTATACTCTGTACATTTCCTTACATTGTGTACACACCCTACACAGTGAATACCGCACATTACAAACTAGTGTGTACACACATCCCCAGAGGACAGTTACACATCACAGTCAACACAAAAACGCAGCTGTTAAGTAGTATACTCCGGTATATATTTATTTACATGCTGAGCATATGAAATAAAGTTATACAGATGCATTATGACTGTGTTTGGTCTTTATCCCATTTAATTTATATTAAAATTATTATAAATACATTTTCATATATATATATATATATATATATATATATATATATATATATATATATTTATATATATATATATATATATATATATATATATATATATATATATATATATATATATATATATATATTATATATATATAGATATATATATATAATATATATATATATATATATATCCATATATATATATTATATATATATATATATATATATATATATATATATATATATATATATATATTTATCATTTCATAAGAAAAAAATAAAGAAAATATATTAATTCAGGAAACCTTGGCTTATTAGGCCAATCGGGCCTTGCATAGTAGGCCGAGAAGTGCGTTCTGGCTACTAGGTACGACATATGTATATATATATATATATATATATATATATATATATATATATATATATATATATATATATATATATATATATATATATATATATAATAAATATATGCGAACAAGCCTGAATGGTCCCTAGGCATACATGCAACTTAAAACTCACATCCCAGAAGGGGGACCCACCTAAGAGGGGAACTCAAAGTGGTGAGATGTTGCCAGAGAGTCCCACCGCTGCCACCAATGGTCCTGAACCCCAGCCTCACCATAGATATAAATGGACGAAATTCCTAAGCCTATTTGAGCCAATAGTTCAGATACTCTTTTGTTTATATTTGTTTATTTTTCTTTTGGCTTAGGCATAATTATGATCACCTATATTGGTATTAAGATCCTCTTTGTGTTTTTATTGCATGAACTATTGTAGAAATTCCAGATGTGCTCTGTGATTATTGTCGATTTCTTTATAAACATAAATTCAATTCAGACTGCTATTTCAGAGGTATTTTTTCTTTCATATACAGTCTATGTATCTCGTATGCGAGTTAGCTCTTTCATATGTTAAATGCTTTCATAAGTAAGTTAAATGCTTTCATAATGTGGGCATTAAAGCATGTCCACATTAGAATAGTCAACCATTACTGCTCTTTAAAACATGTTTCACTTGACAATTTAGGCATTCAATATCAAATTGATCCTCAAAACAGTGTTTCTATATAGGTTAATTACTTACCCCATTTGAGCGTTATGTAGTGAGTAACGCAAAAATAAGGTTCGTCGAGTTAGTTCTCGACTCACACTAAGGCATTCCGGGTTCGAATCCCGGGGGAGAGTGGCAATAATGGGGCCATCACCAAGTGCCATTGTTCACCTAGGATGTCAATAGGTACCCAGGAGTTAGTCAGCTTATTGTGGGGTTGCATCCTGGGGAGGGTCAGAAATTCGACGTTTGGGGGCAGGATGGCCCTAGATATAGGACTAACATGAATATATACTGGCCACTGGTTGCCTGTCCTGCGACACAATTAATTATAATTACTCACATTCTCACAGACATGTCATGTGTACTCATATAGGTTATGATGAGTCACTGCTCATGGGGACCCACACTGGTCATGGGGACTCACACTGGTCATGGGGACTCACACTAGTCATGGGGACCCACACTGGTCATGGAGACTCACACGGGTCATAGGGACTCACACCGGTCATGGGGGACCCACATTAGTCATGGGAACCCACACTGCTCATGGGAACCCGCTAATCCAGACTCTGGCTAAACCCATCTGAATAAGAACACAGCGACACTATTCACGCGCAACTTCTCATGTGTGCGTGTGTGTTTACGCTGCAAACTACTCCAGCGAAGAGCAAACTTGCTCTACCTCACAGGATGTTTATTACCAATAACTTGACTGTGTTCTTCTCACAATACAGGTTATTGTCTCTTTCACTCCTACATAGTGCTTGCTCATGTTTAGAACGTGTTTATCCATCTAGAATCCCACGTCTATGGTGCTACATTAAAAATCTTGCTGTTGTTTTATGTGAATAATGTTTCAAATGACATCTTCTGATTAATGTTAGCTGATAAAACACAAGCTAGGATAATGATACATTGGAAGACAGCATAAAGCTAAAGGATGGGGAGGGCCAGCAAGAATCATGATTGAAATCAAGTTTGAATCAGATTGGTTCGACAAATGGCCCTTACGGTTTGACAAGTGCTTAGTACCAAAGCTGGTTGGTGGGAAGGGACGGGAACGATCAAAGAGAAAGCGCCAAGCCATTGCGACTATATAGTGCTTGGAAGGGATCAGGATCAGTGATGAGAAGGAAGGGGGGAGAAAGGAATGGTACCCAACCATTTGGACGGTCGGGTATTGAACACCGACCTGCATGAAGTGAGAGTTGGTGAGTACCAACAAGTACAGCATCAACAAGCCTGGCCAAGGTTTGGATGCTGGGAACAAAAGGCCGGTCTTCCAAATGCTAGCGAAAAACGTTCTGGGATCGTACAGAGATAAAAAAAATACTTCAGGTTTGACATTACTCAGAACCTGTCTCCCGTTACTCATGTCAATCATATGTCATCCGCTGTAAATAACAGGTTGGCCACTATTCGGAAATCTGAACAACGTTTGGCTCGGAATCTAATTTGCGCATACGAAGGAACAATTAAGGAATTTGTGCACAATCATGGAGTCCATATATCGTTAAAGAAGAAACGAGATAGATAAAAGTCTTTAATTCCTGGAATTAAAGTGATTCCTGGAATCACATGAGACACATCATGAAAACGAACATGACTTTTGGTGAACTCCTCTTCCAGCTGAGCCCTGATGCAAGAGCACTAGTAAGAGGAACAGACGCCCTAGACCAGAAAATAGTTAACACGAAATATGCTGTCATATTCAATGAGACATGTTTAAAAGAAAACCTGATGCCAGTATATATATATATATATATATATATATATATATATATATATATATATATATATATATATATATATATATATATATATATATATATTATACATATACATATATATATATATATATATATATATATATATATATATATATATATATATATATATATATATATATATATATATATATATATATGGTTGGAAAGGAAAAGGGTGAGGAGATGGGGGGAGTAGAACGGGGAAAAATGAAGAGAGGAGAGGGGGAAGGAATGGAGCAGCAAAGGGAGGGAAGAAGGAAAAAGCGTGGGAAGGAAGGACAGAATATGAAGAAAACAGTGTTGCGGCGAGAGGAGAAAACAGGACGGGTATAATGGGGGTTAGGATGAGCGGATAGAGAACTATCCTGGGCATCGCCAGGCTCCCCCCCCCCCCAACCCTCCAAGGATGACTATACAGTACTTAGAGGGCATATGGGCACAAGGAGACGGGATATTCATGCCCGTGCCAAGACGCGAGGACGTTCGCGGTAGCGACCAGTCTAACAGGTCATAAATTGTTCAGCAATGTTCCTTTGTGCGAATGTTTTCCTTTCTTGCTGTCGTTAGTGCCTCTCTATTGTCCTCTGTTGTCGTTAGTGCCTCTCTATTGTCCTCTGTTGTCGTTAGTGCCTCTCTATTGTCCTCTGTTGTCGTTAGTGCCTCTCTATTGTCCTCTGTTGTCGTTAGTGCCTCTCTATTGTCCTCTGTTGTCGTTAGTGCCTCTCTATTGTCCTCTGTTGTCGTTAGTGCCTCTCTATTGTCCTCTGTTGTCGTTAGTGCCTCTCTATTGTTCTCTGTTGTCGTTAGTGTCTCTCTATTGTCCTCTGTTGTCGTTAGTGTATCTCTTTTGTCCTCTATTGTCGTTAGTGCCTCTCTATTGTCGTTAGTGCCTCTCTATTGTCCTCTATTGTCGTCAGTGCCTCTCTATTGTCCTCTATTGTCGTTAGTGCCTCTCTATTGTCGTTAGTGCCTCTCTATTGTCCTCTGTTGTCGTTAGTGCCTCTCTACTGTCCTCTGTTGTCGTTGGATGCCCTGGCTCACAGGGCATCTTCCCTGGCTCACAGGGCACCTTCCCTGGCTCACAGGGCATCTTCCCTGGCTCACAGGGCATCGTCCCTGGCTCACAGGGCATCTTCCCTGGCTCACAGGGCATCTTCCCTGGCTCACAGGGCATCTTCCCTGGCTCACAGGGCATCTTCCCTGGCTCACAGGGCACCTTCCCTGGCTCACAGGGCATCTTCCCTGGCTCACAGGGCATCTTCCCTGGCTCACAGGGCATCTTCCCTGGCTAACAGGGCACCTTCCTTGGCTCACAGGGCACCTTCCCTGGCTCACAGGGCACCTTCCCTGGCTCACAGGGCACCTTCCCTGCTATGTTTACGTTGTCCACCTCCTTGAGGGGGGATGAACAGCTCCGTGTCGTGAGAGGTGAGGGCGGTGCAGACCCAACAGGGCTCACCCAAAAGTGACTTCGGGGAAGTGAGGATTAGAGTTTCATGCCCTGCTTTCCATCTGTTTTATCGGGTTCCTTGCTCTATTTGACCTTGAAGTAGTGGATAGAGGTGGCTTCCAAAACCTCTACTTTCAGTGCACTCCACTTGTTGAGAACTCCATAAAGGGAACGAGTATTTATTTGCATTTCTTCGAGTCATTTGTGCTTTCAGCTTCCATCTATGTTCTCGAATATCGTATCTTCAGACAAAGAAGCTTTTCTTATCCATTTTGGCTATTCCCTTCAGAATCTTGTATGTAGAGATCATGTTCCCTCTGTTTCATCTCATTTCTTGGCTGGTGGCAAAAGGCATGTGATAGTAGCTGCCAACGGGTGACCACTATGTTTTGATGGATAGCATACTGTATGTGTAGATAGTGTTTACTGTTGACTCTGGTGGTATTTTGAGTGCTTAGACTGTGTTGGGATTTTATATATAGAGGGAGTACACTTTGTGGTAGTGGTATATGGGAAGGTGTAGGCTCTTTGGTGGTGGTATATAGAGGGTGTAAACTGTGTGATGGTAGTATATAAAGAGTGTAAGCTGTGGTGGTGGTACACAGAGTGAAGGCTCTGGTGGTGATACATGGAGGGTGTAGACTGTTGTGGTGGAATATGGAGAGTGAAGTCTATATGGTAGTGGTATAAAGAGGGCGTAACCATGTGGTGGAGGTATACAACGGATTTACACTGTGTGGCTTTAATATACAGAGGGTTCAGACTATGTGTTGGGGTATACATAGTGTCTAGACAGTGTGGTGGGGGTATACATAGTGTCTAGACAGTGTGGAGGTGGTATACATAGTGTCTAGACAGTGTGGTGGGGGTATACATAGTGTCTAGACAGTGTGGAGGTGGTATACATAGTGTCTAGACAGTGTGGTGGGGGTATACAGAGTGTCTAGACAGTGTGGTGGTGGTATACATAGTGTCGAGACAGTGTGGTGGTGGTATACATAGTGTCTAGACAGTGTGGTGGGGTATACAGAGTGTCCAGACAGTGTGGTGGGGGTATACAGAGTGTCTAGACAGTGTGGAGGTGGTATACAGAGTGTCTAGACCGTGTGGTGGGGGTATACAGAGTGTCTAGACAGTGTGGTGGGGGTATACAGAGGGGTGTAGAGCACAGCCTGGGCGTCGGCCTGGGGCAGGATGTAGACTCTGAAACACCTCACCACCAGCATTACCTTCCTCGCCCATAACCCTCAAGAAAGTCACCGACAACCTTGACCTTTGGAGTGAATTTCCTGTTGTTCCTCACACTCTCAAATACTTCACCATATTCCATATAGTTCTTCGTTTCACTCAATCTTATTCATCTACACCATCAATGTAAAGAAAAAAAAAAACGAATGCTTTCTCTTTTTTCTATAAGACTTAAATGACCCACTAACCCCCATTTTTACAATGGGATGAATTGCATGACGATATTTTCTGTTGCAAGTCTGTGTCATCTGACTTGAAGAACGACTACAGTATATCGTCCAACGACTACAGTATATTGTCCAACGACTTCTGTATATCGTCCAACGACTTCAGTATATCGTCCAACGACTACTGTATATCGTCCAACGACTTCTGTATATCGTCCAACGACTTCTGTATATCGTCCAACGACTACAGTATATCGTCCAACGACTACAGTATATTGTCCAACGACTTCTGTATATCGTCCAACGACTTCAGTATATCGTCCAACGACTTCTGTATATCGTCTAACGACTTCAGTATATCGTCCAACGTCTACAGTATATCGTCCAACGACTTCTGTATATCGTCCAACGACTTCTGTATATCGTCCAACGACTTCAGTATATCGTCCAACGACTTCTGTATATCGTCTAACGACTTCAGTATATCGTCCAACGTCTACAGTATATCGTCCAACGTCTACAGTATATCGTCCAACGACTACAGTATATCGTCCAACGACTACAGTATATCGTCCAACGTCTACAGTATATCGTCCAACGACTACAGTATATCGTCCAACGACTACAGTATATCGTCCAACGACTACAGTATATCGTCCAACGACTACAGTATATCGTCCAACGACTACAGTATATCGTCCAACGACGTTCTTTTATGTGTTGGGCCCTCAGCGAGGGTCATGTGAGATAGGATCTTTATTACCAGGAGCACTTATGCAAACGCGAGGCTGAAACATTCCATTCGCTTCTCCAGCTTATACACAAACGGGTGCTGTGATATTTAGAGGGAGTTGAGCTTCTGCTATTGGGCTCCACCTCTCCTTTACAAACAATCCAAGAGGATGGGGATAACGATATGGTCTCACTTCCTGCAAGTCTGTGTTCGATCCTCGATGATGTATGTAGTTAGGCTCCGTTAATTGCTCTGTTAAGTGCTACATAAGGTATACTGGCTTAGTGGTTTCTTCCCATAAGTGTCTTACCCTTTATGGATTAGTGTAAAGGTTCCTGATCTGATTATGGAGTCATAACGGTACATGAACCTATAGGTGACGTCACCTTACCTTGCGGTTACCTTGCGATGATTTCGGGGCTTAGCGTCCCCGCGGCCCGGTCCTACTACCATTCGTTAGCCACAACCATTCGAAAGTCAAATTAATTTAATTTATTTACTACTAGATGGGAGTACCCGGCTGTGCCCAGGTCTCTCTCTCTCTCTCTCTCTCTCTCTCTCTCTCTCTCTCTCTCTCTCTCTCTCTCTCTCTCTCTCTCTCTCTCTCTCTCTCTCTCTCTCTCTCTCTCTCTCTCTCTCTCTCTCTCTCTCTCTCTCTCCCCTTTCACTTCTCCCTTTTCCTCTCTCCCATCTTTCCTGTCTGCTTCCTATTACACCTTTCTCCCACTGTCTCCCCTCTCTTTATTACTTTCCTTCTCCTCCAACATTCCCCTCCACTTCCCTCTCTCGTCTCGACATGTGTCATCTCGAATTACTGGGCGAGGTTGACCCTAAACGATAGACCTACTTTGGACACAGAGTCAGACCAGCAAACGTTCATCTTCGTCGATATTGATTTTGGCATTAAATAGATTATTTCCAATATTGCTGTAGCTCATTGAAATGATTAGTTTCCACCTGAATTCCCTGTACTTTACCTGGGTCGATTTTAAGGAATTTAAAATAAAAAAATGAATAGTGGAAAGCGCCAAGCCATTACGAATGTATAGCACTTGGTTGAAGGTCAGGATAAGGATTGGGGATGGGACGGGGAAAGGAATGGTCCCCAACCACTTTTGACGCTCGGGGGATTGAACTCCGACCTGCGTGAAGAGAGACCGTCGCTCTACCGTCCAGCCCAAGTGGTATTTAAAATAGCAGAAGCCATTACTTTTTGATCTCGTATTCCAGCTTTAGGCACTGAATAAATTCCATAGAAAACATTCAGAGAAGCATTTCAAAAGGTAATTCCGAGCATTCTGAACCCCCCTTATATGAGGAGAGGTTGAAAATGCTTTCATTTGCATTCTTTAGATAATTTGAAGATGAAGGACAACATAAATGAAGTACACAAATGAATGATATATTAACTGAAGAACAGATACTAATTGGATAACTTTTTGATTTAGAAGACCTGGAAACACAGTACTTTGGAAATAGCGTTAATGATTGATGGAATAAATTACCGGGTAAGACAAGAGACGAGGGATCGCTGGACTGTTTCAAGCGTATGCTAGACTTATATTCATTGAGTTATGGGTGGTATAAGAGCTTCCTGGCGAGGGAAAATAATTCTGCCCTCGAGGGAAATTCATTTCCCTTGAAGGCGATGGAAATTCAGGAATTTCTTCTATTCTTACGTTATATTCTTTGTTTTGAAAGTTCCCATTATCCTCTATATCCTTTTTCTGGCTGCTGCTGTTGTAATATAAATGATTATGAATTTCATGAAATTTGTTGGAGATATTATACTCTGGCCATTATTTATATTTTATAAAACACACATGTTAAAAACCAGTAGTTTTTAGTATTTATCTTCTAAATAATTTAGTGTTGCCTTGTGCACAGCCAAGATAACACAGCCCCATCCTGCCTCACGTTCTCTCAAGAAATTCCATAATCATGTTAGTTACCTTCATATAATATTTGATTTCCTGAAAATAAATCCAGTGAGTGGAATTATTTTAATCCCTTTAATAAATATACAGAATATTATAACTGACCTATTTATAAGTTATATTTGTGTTGTATTATTATAGTTGGTTCAGTGTTTACCTGTTGGTCCCATATGAAATTAATTACAAGTTTTATAATGGATTATTATCGTTCACCTATTACAGTTAGCAGACACTTAACAAATGTTTTATATAATCCAGATTAAAAAACACCTCATTGATATTAAAAGTTTATAACTACCGAGGATCCGCTCCGAGGACATTATCAGGTGGGGAGTTTGACTGGGGCGGTACATCTGTCAAATGAAACGCAGGTGTCCTAAGGCCAGCTCAGCGTGGACAGAAACCTCGCGTAGAGCAAAAAACCATGTCTGGTCAACATACTTCAGCCACGTTATTGTGACTCATCGCCTGCATAGTTTATAACTAGTTTTGGAATTCTTTTGAAGCCATTTATCGAATCGGCAAAAGTAGCGTGTTATTTATTATATATGCCTTCTTATTTATTATATATGCCTCCTTATTTATTATATATGCCTTCTTATTTATTATATATGCCTCCTTATTTATTATATATGCCTTCTTATTTATTATATATGCCTCCTTAAATATTATATGCCTCCTTATTTATTATATATGCCTCCTTATTTATTATATATGCCTCCTTATTTATTATATATGCCTCCTTATTTATTATATATGCCTCCTTATTTATTATATATGCCTCCTTATTTATTATATATGCCTCCTTATTTATTATATATGCCTCATTATTTATTATATATGCTTTCTTATTTCTGAAATTTAGGAGTGTCTTGACCTCTCTTTTCCTGAAGTGAGAACGTTCGGTGTGTGTCAGTTTGTGTGTGTTTGGTATGTTAGTGTTTTTGTTTAAGTGTGTGTGTAGTCACCTAATTGTCACGTAATTGTGCTTTCGGGGGTTGAACTTCGGCTCTTTGGTCCCGCCTCTCAACCGTCAATCTACTTGTGTACAGATTCCTGAGCATCTCGAACCCCATCATATATACATTTGAAAGTTTGAATGGAGTCAGCCTTCAGCACATCACTTCCTATTGCATTCCATTTAATAACTACTCTGACACTGAAAAAGTTCTTTCTAATATTTTTGTGGCTCATTTGGGTACTCAGCTTCCAATCAATTCAAATCAATTCTCCAAAATTCATTTGTATTTCTAGTCTAAATTTCTAGTCTGAATTTTGGAGAATTGATTTTTGAATTACCACCAACAGTGAAAAGTAACGTACGAAAGATCGAGAAAATTCGTGTTAGAATTATTAATCTTACTTTTCGGTCATATTTAATAATATATGTCTACAGGAAAGACTGCTACCAAAATATACTAATATATATATATATATATATATATATATATATATATATATATATATATATATATATATATATATATATATATATATATATATATATGTATATACATAAATATAAGGTTCAGGTTTTGGTTACTGGATCCCGACTTTTCAGCTGACAGTTGTCTAAGGCAATGATTCTTAACCCATGCTTTGTATCATATCAACTTTTCAACTCATGAATAAAGTTCATTTGTATAGTCTGCTCATATTTACCCTAAAAGAAAAACTTTCTGTCATCTCTGTGTCTTTTCTGGTTCTCAATCGTCCAGCCCATGCTCTATTGTTCTACTGATATTCAATGAAAACATCTCTTTCTCCTCTTTGTCAATTCTTATAGGTACTTTATGTTTATCGTGTCCTGCCACCCCTCTCCCCTCTTCTTTTGGCATTGAGTTCTTTCTGCATGCTGACTGCCTTGAAGAATTCATTCGTGGGTGCCCATCAAAATCTCCATATTCTTTCTTTACATATCTTGAAAATGTATATATGCTGGTTAGCTTTGTAAATGTGTGGCTACGTCTGTGGTAGAAAATAATAAAAACATAACACGTATTGTTTATAGCTGTTGATATATCTATTAATATCTATGTCTCTCTCTCTCTCTCTCTCTCTCTCTCTCTCTCTCTCTCTCTCTCTCTCTCTCTCTCTCTCTCTCTCTCTCTCTCTCTCTCTCTCTCTCTCTTTGTCTCTTCCCCACCCAACTCATCCCCCAATGTCTCACTGTGTATGTGACGTCCTTAATAACTTACACACGCACCAATGACCAGGAACAACTTCGTCTTCTTGACTTGCCACACCATAACAAACCCAACCTTTTAGTCTAATTCAAAAAAATGTAAGGATGTAATCAATCTAACTAACCTACTGAGTGCGATGCATAGAAAACGATATTTGTGAGCCGTAACTTTTCTTAATGGGAGGATTTTTGCCAAGGTTACTGTAAAATGTTAACAATGTTGCCCCATTAGTCGAGGCGAGAGTCTTGTGGATGATTCTCACGGTGACGGCGCCGCTCCTACTCTGGTGGGAAGGCCGGGACGTCTGGGACGTATAAGGCACACAGGAAAACGAGCTCAGCATGAACTGCTGTAAACTGAACCACTAAACATGTACCTGGTCGTAAAAAATTCATGAAGTAAGAAGGGGGCACTGTTTTGGTGGGTTGGGGGGGGGGGAAGAGTATCAGAGGGAAAGCACCAAGCTATTACGACTATATAGCATATGGAAGTGGTCAGGATAAGGATTTGGGACGGGTACTAATCAAAGGAAAGGGCGGGTGGGATCGGCGATATGTGGAGAGATTTTAATGAAGGAGTTATGTGGCATAATGAGACACTTGGAGTGCTTGTGTAGCGGCTCACCGCTTGCGTTATTGCTTGATCAAGTGTGTCTCATGTATTTTGCTTTTGTCGGTCTTGAATACATTCCTTATTTTATGATGGAATTTTAGGAGGAGTTTGTAATGCATTTTTACACCACTTTTTTTTACGAAACATTTTACTGGACATAAGAGGTGCTTCAGAATATACGCATCGGCACCGGAGAACTTTTACAAAACGATTACTTGAGGAAGTTCCTAGATGCCACTTATTGTATACATAATACACCTGCAAGTTTCGAAACACGG